CACAGTCACAAGCAGAATACATCTGCAAGCAATCCCCGGCGTGTAATCAGTGTTGCCATTTTAGTCGTTTTCCGGCTAGATTTAGCCGGTTGCGATAACAAACAGCCGGAGAAATTTCGATTTAGCCGGCAGCCGATTTGTTAGCCGGTTTGCAGAAAAAAATTTGCCGTTTTTAGCCGATTTTGCTATTTGCCTTGTTTTCTTAAATTTTAAATATGTATATATGTTTCCCTTTTTGACTAAGCGACCCAAAATCTGTTAGAAATGGCTACTAGCCCAATCGTGGAGAAAATTTTCATCTCAGGCAGGGTTGTATGAAATTGTGCTGATTTCGCTTATTTTTATTTTAAACGAAGAAGGGATTTTCTTCATAAAATGTTTGTTATAAATGTCTTAATTTTAAGTGTGAAGTTTTATTTGCAAACTTAGAAAATAAGAAATTGTTTCACTGTTAAGACACTTAAGATGCGTTTGTGTTTGGATATAGTGCCAATAAGCAGAATAAATATTACATGTAGATATTGTCTTCCCAGATAGCGCATATTCAATTCTGCCTAAATTACAAAACATCATTTTTGCCCACTCCCAAAGGTTTAAGGTAAGGGAAAAATTGATATTTTCAAGCACTATGTACACATGTATTTTTTTAAACAAACTTTCTTGCTGAGGACTTATTTAAATTCCAAAAACCGAATGCCAACTTGAATTAAAGGAACCAACACTGAAGTGAGTCAAAATGAAAATAAAAGAGCACAAATTTCTATGTAAAGTAAAACTCTCTGGGAATCTTACGAGATATCTGCCGGTCATATGACTGGTCATCTAAATGGGTGATCTGCAGTCTTTTGGCATCGTATTTTACATCAGAATTGAAGGGATTTCTGAAAGATCTGACCAGTTCTTTTATGTAACTGTGATTTTGCATCCCTTGTCAACATATGGCCTCGGTTGATGTTAGCTTAAGGTCGTTGTTTTACTGCCTTAAAATTGAAGGAAAATTTTTACAGCGTCTTTTATGTGTACTGGTTTCTATTTGAGTGTATTGAGAATCGGTCATTCTGAAAAGGCCTTCTAGGGAAGACAATAGGTTTGTTCGTCGAAAATCTAGCGAGAATTATCACTCAAGATATCAGATAGTAAGAAAAAATGCTCCCAAATTCTCTCTCATGTAGAGAAACTTGCAAATTTCTGTACGAACGTAAATTTGTAAGTTTTTCTGCCAGCTAGTGTCCACGGTTGCATTTCAAACAAAAGAAATTTAACGAACTTGTTTATTCAAATTATCGTCGACAAAAAATCCAACCATGTGCCACAATCATATGTTTTTCCTAATTGAAAATTCTTGTTGGCAAAATTTTTTCCGGCTCGAATTTGTAACTTCTCTCCAAGAAATAGTGTTTTTACCCGTGATTTAGTTAAATAAAACATGTGAAATTAAGTTGAAACATTTTAGCCGTTTTTAGCCGGTTTTATTTGCCAATTTAGCCGGTTCGTCCAAAAAGTTCTGGCAACACTGCGTGTAATGCACATCCAGGACGAAAGACCAACAGAGACGGTGGCATGTTCTCAGTGCGGCGGCGATCATTTAATCTCGAAGTGCGATAAGTTTAAGGCGTTGGGTGTTCAAGCGAGATGGGAAGTTGTTAAGAGCCGGCAGTTGTGCTTTTCCTGCCTGCGCAAAGGCCATAGTACATCGAAATGTCGCTCCAAAAGATCGTGTGGTATAAATAGCTGCCAGCGGTACCACAATCAGTTGTTGCACAACGACGAAAGCCGACTAAATACATCACGGCAAATTACACAAGATGAAAACACTCAGCCACTGTTGAACTGTCGCCTTGTGGAAGCAGCAACTAAGCAGTTGTTTAAGATGCTACCGGTCAATATCTACGGACCTAATGGTAAGTTCGAAGTCCTGGCAATGTTCGACGAAGGTTCGGCAATAACGATCCTGGAAGAAGCCGTCGCCAAAAGGATTGGTGTTAAAGGGCAGTGTCATCCCCTCACACTGCAATGGTACGATGATAGAGTGGTGACCGAGCAGTCATTTAAAGTAAGTCTAGAGATCGCGGGTTGCTCGAGCAACAAGAGGTTCACGCTGAGAGATGTGCGCACGGTGAAAAATCTAAATTTACCAGAACAGTCCTTTACAAAAGACGACTTCGAATATTTACGAGAATTGCCGCTACAAGATTACCCCAGCACGAAACCTGTCCTGCTCATTGGGCTGAATCAGGCACATCTAGGTGTTATGACAACCATAGTACAAGCTGACATAGGCAGTCCGCTAGCTGCCAAAACGTCATTGGGTTGGGTGGCATATGGTCCGACTAAGCTTGCGTCAACGTCAAGTCTGCGAGTACTCCACATGCGAGAATGGCAACATCTGCACCAACTGGTCTCGGACTACATCACAACGGACAACTACGGTTTTAATCCTGCATCAGTCAAGCTTGAGTCTGATGCCGATAAGCACGCCAAATCAATATTGGAGGCAACAACGCGAATAATAGGTAAGCGTTACGAAACTGGGCTTCTTTGGAAAATGTTTCCACCACACTTTCCGAGTAGCAGAGAAATGGCGGAACGGCGCTTGCTGTCGGTAGAAAGGCGCATGCATCAAGACGCATAATTTGCTCTACGTTACAAGCAAGAAATGTCGAAATACGTGGCGAAAGGGTACGCCAGAAAGCTAACCAGCCAGGAAATCAGCGCGCCATATGCACAAGCCTGGTATCTACCTCATTTTGCTGTCTTTAACCCAAGCAAGCCCAGCAAACTCCGCATCGTCTTCGACGCCGCAGCTACAGTGAATAAGGTTTCACTGAACTCAGTCTTGTTAAAGGGCCCCGAGCAGGCCCAGCCGCTCATACGCATACTATTGCAATTCCGCCAGGGCGAAATTGGCGTAGCAGCGGATATAAGAGAGATGTTTTCGCAGGTTAAAGTACGACCGATGGACCAACATGCTCAGCGATATTTGTGGAGAGATGGAGACTCCAATCAACCGATCGAAGAATATATGATGACGTCGATGATCTTCGGGGCAGTTTGTTCGCCTTGCATCGCAGAGCATGTTAAAAACAAAAACGCAGAAAGGTTCAGAATTCAGTTTCCCGAAGCAGCCTCCATTGTTATTAACAAGCACTATGTCGATGACCTGGTGACTAGTTTTCACACGCCGGAGCACGCAATCAAAATTTGCAAACAGATAGTTGCCATCAATTCGGAAGCCGGGTTCGAATTGCGGAACTTCATCTCTAATTGCGGCTACATACAGAAAGCCATGAACAAAACACCTCTAACGACAAGGGAGGTAATTAATATGGAACGCAACCAGACGGCTGATAAAGTACTTCGCGTACCGCAGCCAGTGCTAGAGGGAATTCGCGCTCCGACAAAAAGAGAACTACTGGGCATAGTGATGGCAGTCTTCGACCCATTTGGGCTACTAGCGAACTTTTTGATAACTACGAAAATCATCATACAAGACACTTGGAGACTAGGCATTGGATGGGACGAGAAGTTAGATGCTGAATTGGCTGCAAGATGGTCCCGCTGGTGGAAGGAGTTCCCGAATATCAAAGAGTTTCAAGTACCAAGATACTACTCACCCAATATTTCGCACAGCAGCAGAATTGAGTTGCATATTTTCGCCGATGCCAGCCAGGCAGCCTTTGCAGCGGTGGGCTATTTCCGAGTGGTGTATGACAGTTCAGTTGACGTAACGTTCGTCATGGGTAAAACACGCACCGCGCCGAAGAGGCTTCTGTCTATACCACGACTTGAACTGCAAGCCGCAGTTCTAGGGACAAGGCTAAGTAAACTGCTTGTCCACAATCACGAATTTAAAATCAGTCGCGTTTTGTTTTGGAGCGACTCACAAACGGTCTTACAATGGGTCCACTCTTCAGAGAGAAAATACAAACCCTTCGTGGGCCATCGAATCTCTGAGATTGTAAGTGCAACTTCCCCTGAGCAGTGGCGCTGGGTACCCACAAACATCAACCCTGCAGATGCCGCTACGCGGCCGCAAAATCCACCTAGGTTCGATAAAAACTGTCACTGGATTAAAGGCCCAGACTTCCTGAAGAACGATGAAGAGCATTGGCCGTCCACCATTATCGAGCGTTCCAGCGGACTTCTGGAAGAAGTTGAAACGAGTTATATACTATATTGTCAGGCAAGTAAAACTCTAATAGATTTTACTAAATTTAACTCATATTTAAAGCTGAAACGTACTGTCGCTTGGGTCATATGAGCCCAACTTTTATTCCGGAGGAAATCGGTGCCCGTTGACGTACATCTGTCGAAGACCTTAACTGCTGCTGAAATCGACCAGGCAGAGCGTATAGCGAGCAAACAGGTACAGCAAGAGTGCTTCGCAAGCGAGATCGAACAGCTTTCCTCGTCACGCAAGTTACCCCGGCAAAGTGGTGTGTATGGCCTTACACCCTATCTAGACGAGGACGGCCGACTGAACGGTCGCATTGACGAGGCAACATGCCTACCATTCGACGCTCGCAGACCGATTCTGTTGCCGTCAAATCATGTTGTCGCAGCACTGATCGTCCAACACTACCACGAACAGAACCACCACCAGAATACGGCAGTCACAATCAACGCCGTAAGACAGAGATTCTGGATTCCGCACATAAAGACACTCTTAAAGAAGGTACAACGAAACTGTTTAAAATGCAAAATAAATAAAGCCAGCCCCGTCGCGCCAATGATGGGACAACTTCCACCTGATCGCTTAACCCCGTATGTCCGCCCATTTTCGTATACTGGCGTTGACTTATTTGGACCGTTTAACGTTACAGTAGGGCGACGAAGGGAGAAAAGGTGGGGTGTCATCTTCACCTGCTTGACCGTGAGGGCAGCGCACATTGAGTTAGCCGAAAACCTCTCAACGGATGCGTTCATTCTGTGCCTACGGAATTTTATTAATCGTCGCGGCACCCCCGTGAGAATCAGGAGTGATAACGGCACGAATTTCATCGGTGCCCAAAAGGAGTTGAAAAACGCTGAACAACTATTCGACATCGACCGCATACAAGCAGAGGCCGCAAATAGATATATAGATTGGAAATTTAATTGCCCGTCCAACCCCAGCGCTGGTGGCTGTTGGGAGCGGCTGATTAGAATCGTGAAGTCCTTGCTGAGTCATACGCTGCGTGAAGTGGCGCCGAGAGTCGACACCCTACAATCTGTACTCATTGAAGCTGAGAGTATTATAAACTCCCGCCCGCTAACGGACTTGCCTTTGTCACACGAAGACGATGAGCCACTCACACCGAACCACTTTCTGATCGGGTGCGTTAACTCAACTCAAACCCCTCATCCGGTCGATGAGAAAATTTGTCTGAGGAAGCAGTGGCGAATAGCGCAGAATCTCAAAGATCGCTTGTGGAAACGGTGGACCACGGAATATTTGCCTCAACTCATTTGTCGCAGCAAGTGGAGGGAGAAAGCGATCGCGTTGCAAATCAACGACTTAGTGCTAATATGTGAGCCATCTCAACCACGCACTCACTGGCAGAAGGGTCGTGTTACGAAGGTCTTCCCCGCAAAAGACGGCCAGGTTCGCGTAGCGGAAGTGAAGACAAGCAGCGGACTTTTACGTCGTCCTGCCACACGCCTAGCTCGGCTAATCGTAGAAGGTGAATCTCGGGAAGATTCACGGGGGGAGGAGTGTTGGGAACCCTGTCACTAAACCGGTTCACAATTGCCAACCTTGACAGCTAAGCGGCCATCATTGATTTTTTGACATATGTAGATACTTACAAAAATTTGGCCTTTTTTGATTCAGCGCGTTAAGGAAAGCAGACGTACCAGCAAAATACAATTTTAAAACCAACGAAACAACTAACCAACAATTTTCAAGCGAACTTGTATCAGCAAACGATTTCTTATATATCAATAAATCTTATACAATTAAAACCAGTGAATTGCCTTTTCATCCAATAGTTACAATAGGCTTATTTTTACTTAAACGTGATATAAAGCTCATTAAAATGTTCTGTAATGTCTTGTTGTAAGTTTGTTATCACAGTTCTTCGTATTTTTATTGTCCACTAAACGTGACTGGCTTCAATTTAATAAATTCTAGTACAAAGAATTTCTTTGTTTTGAATTTGTTTGTTTATTGTTTTTAATTTTTAAAATTCATACTTTTGACATGAATGTGAATGGCGGAGTTGCCGCTTTCCTCCTTTTCGGTGGGTTTTTATATTAAAAAGGCATCAAAATGGGAAAAACCCCCCTTGGTATCTCTGCATCTGTTAAACTTTTTATGGGAAGATGTATGAAAATTCAACTTGCTATAATTTCATATGCTTAACAGTATCACAACAGTATGTTTACAGTATCTCCCCATAACTTTTCATATGAAAAAATTTATTATATGCATCCCACTCGTTATCATTGAATTCCTCATTAGAACATGTAGTCCCTCTATTTTAGCGTATCAACAGTTCATATGGCTTCATACCATGTAAATGCGCCATAATTGATTGAACAGAATATTCCGTATATTAAACGTGCGATATGTATGTATGTACTATCGCTAACAGATAATATTTCAATCGCATATCAATGGCAATTTGGATTATAACTTTGGGAATGTCGCTACTGCCATGTTGTTGTTGTTGTAGCGGCATCAACGTTGTCGTATATTTCAGCTAGGGGGAAGCCCAGGAAGTGTGCGACTTCCACAGGGGCGTCAGCTGAGTGGGGGGCGGGGGTTCTCGGGGCATGTGAAGAGGTGCCGGGAGTCATGTGGCGACTCTCCACATGCCGGGCATTGGTTGGGCACATCCTCGTTGATTCTGCTCAGGTAGCTGTTGAGCCTGCTGCAATAGCCAGAGCGAAGTTGGGCTATTGTAGTGCGGGTCTCCCGAGGCAGACAAAGTTCTGTCCCGTCCACGTCCGGTGGTTGTGTGCCTAGAACGGCATTCACAGGGCAGGAGTCTACATAACTTGAGACTGATTCCCTGTGAATGCCGTTCAGGGCCTGTCGGTAGGTTGTCGGGTGCAGAGGTTGTTTAATATACCTCTGGACTTCGTCTGTCAGTTCGTAAGATGCCTCCTGACGTGCCGTGGCGAGGGCTCTTCCGCGAGCAGTTGCCCGCTGGGATGGTCACGTCTGTGGCTCCCAGCGAGGAACTGCTTGCAGAGCATTATGTTATGCTCCTTTACTGGGAGCATCTGGGCCTCGTCGTGAAGGTGGTGTTGAGGCGTCATCAGGAAGCATTCCGTCGCAGCTCGTAATGCCGTGTTTTGGCAGGTCTGCAGCTTCATCCACTGCGTCCTGCTAGTCCCCGGCGACCATACTGGCGCTGCGTAGTTCAAAACCGGCCGGCCAATTGCCTTGTATGTTGCCAACAACGTTTCTTTATCTTTGCCCCAAGTGCTGCCGGCCAGCGACTTGAGGACATTGTTGCGGCTCTGTACTTCGTTGACAATTGCGGTTGTATGCGCCGAGAAGGAGAGCGACTGTCGAAGGTAACTCCGAGGATTTTCGGGTTATTCACCGTCGGTATTGTTACGTCATCGACGCGAATACCCAGTGGCAGTCTGACCTCCTTCGTCAATAGGGCAAGGATAGGGCAAGGCTCCTTACAGTGAAGAAGCGAGAAAGTTCGGAGAGGTAACCGTTTACTTTCGAGCAAAAGTCATCAATTCCATTAATTTTACGTGGCTTGCTGGTTTTGTCTCTGAAGGTTACTGACGAGTGTCGACCACTCAGGTAATTCGCCGACCACCGTTTGAGTCCCTGTGGGAGTGAGGAGGCCTCTATATCTTCTAGTAGCGTTGAATGACTGACAGTGTCAAACGCCTTGGACATGTAGAATAGATCTCTCACAGGGGCGGTTTTGGTTTAGGCCACGAGTTATCTGAGGGCCGTTTGCACCATGTCTAGTTAATTCTAACTCCCAGTTAAACATCTTTATCGACGTTATCGACACCCATCATAAAACATGTGATCGATAAAGCAGTTAACGTGCTTAACTGAAGGATGTACCTCCAGTTAGCGTTAACTAGACATGGTGCAAACGGCCCTGAGTGTTTATGGCGTTAAGTGCTGTTGTTGTACTATGCACTTTACGGAACCCATGTTGATGCTTCGCTGGGGTCAGGTGGTTCGTGGAGTACGGGAGCAGCAGGGCGTCGAGTGTCTTCGCTACAGGGGAAAGGAGAGTTATCGGACGATAAGACTCTCCTTTGTTGGCTGGTTTCCCCGGTTTGAGCAGTGGGACAACTGTCCCCATATTCCAGATGTCTGGAATGACGAGAGTGGCCATTGACAGGTTTAGGACCTTCGTTAGGTACGCTACTCCCGCAGGACCCAAATTTTTCAGCATCAACATGCATATTCCGTCGGGTTCAATGGCTTTGGAGGCTTTCGCCTTCCCGATGGCTACCCTTACCTCACCGCTGGTGAAAACAAGAGGCGCACTAGGTTTTGGCATTTTGTGCAGCCTTCTGGTCACTCGACGCTTGGCTTTATCCACCGGAGGATGCAGAATGAACTGCCGGCTAAAATAGCTCCCGCATCTCTCCGGATCCGACGAAGCGTGGTCACCAAAGTCTATCTCGACTCTGTCGTCGCGCTTCGTCGGGTTGGACAACGACCTCACGGTTGACCAAAGCTTACTCGCACCAGAGGCGAAGTTGCAGGTCTTCAGATGCTCTTCCCATTTCTTCCGCTTATGTACGTTCACAAGTTGCCGAATCTCCGAATTGAGATCCCTAGTACGGGGATTTCCGGGATCGGCCTGACGAAGGTTGTCGCGCTCATCAGCTAGAACAGCCGCTTCGGCAGGAAAATTCGGACGTGGATCCTTAATACATCCTGCGGGATGAAGCGAGCTGCAGCAGCGGTGATAACCCTGCGGAACTTACGTTCACCTACATGAACGTCGGTTGGTATGGGTAGTGCAGTGAAGGCGCCTAACATCCGTGAAGCCTTTCCAGTCAGCTTTGTCGGCAGGTTTATCAATCGAGATGACTGTGGGCAGATGGTCTGATGCCAAAGTCAGCATAGGTCGCCATGATACGCTGTTTATCAGACCAGCGCTGACAATTGTTAGATCTGGCGAGCTGCAGCAGCTGCCCATAATCCTGGTGGGTGCGTCGTCGTTCATTGTGCAGAATGTCGAATCGTCTATCTGCTCAGCCAGATGTATTCCCCTACGATCATTTGACAGGCTTGAGTGCCAGAGATCGTGGTGCGCGTTAAAGTCACCAACTACCATACAGTTTTCACCTCTGAGTAGCGCACCTATTTCAGGGTGATATCCTGCCGGGCAGCTGGTGACAGGGGGTATGTATACGTTAAATATTTCTAGCTCAACATCGCCTGACCGGATAGCAATACCCCGACATTCTAGGATGGTATCCCTGCGGTTGATGTCTGCTTCAATGAGACGATACTGCACGGTGTGGTGCGTGATGAACGCTAAACCTCCACCATTATCTCGCTCGCGATCTCGACGGTGCACGTTGTATCCGGCGCAATTCAACAAGGTTGAATTGCCGTGCAACTTCGTCTCTTGGACCGCAGCTATTAATATTCCGTGCCTTCCCTTGAAGACAGTTATCTCCTCGATCTTGCTCTGGAGTCCGTTACAGTTAAATTGTAGCACCTTTGTGTGCCTTGGGAGACCGATTGTGATGTGTGGTGTTAAAGAGTTGTGTTGCCTGCCGGCCCCCTGCTGTACGTGCTGCAAAAGGGGGTGCTGCCTTGTGGTGGTGGTTGGTGGCGTCGCGGGGGAGGGATGCGACGGGGCAGCACAGTAGGGGCCCACATAGTCACTCGTCCCATCTCGTGTGTTGCGAAGTCCTGAGCACGCCCTAAAGTGGCACCAGCCGAGGTAAGAGTTGCACTTGACTGATGTCACGTTACGGTATATTCTGGACTGACAAACAGAGCAGATTGCCGGAGGGACTAGGAGTTGCCGGCGGCGGTGTGTGGGTGCTATTGTGTTTGTTTGGGTGTGGGTGAGTTGCTTGTGTTCTGCCCAGGCGGGTGGTGTTTTGCCGTGGAGGCGGTCCGGTTCGCACAGCATGGGGCCACGAACGACGTAGTCCATTGCCGGTGCGTACGCAGGCCCGAGTAGTTACGGAGGTCACTCCACCCGTCACAGGCATTGCACCTGACCGAGGTGGAGTTTGTATGCAGTCGTCTCTGGCATACGCAGCAGGTGTAGATTTCTGGCCCTGGGTTTGACTCTATGCCAGCCCTGAGCAGAAGGGTGCGGAGAAGGTGTAGCCCTAGGATCGAGCAACGTTTGATGGATTTCGCCGACCTAAACGGGGTTAGATCGCCGAAACAACAGCCCTTGGTCGGGTAAAACCCGAGGCATTCCGGTACGTAGAACCGGCTGTCGTGGGAATGTCTGCTCCTGGGAAAGATCTGCTCTTTTCAGAACCCCGAGAGAGATATAAGAGAGGAGATTTATGACGAGTAGAACATAATTGATTTGAATGATATAAAATTATTCATAGACAACTAATTATGTAGTATTTATATTTGCATGTATGCCAATCCTATATTATGTATGTATGAATAGTATATTTTTACAGGTAGAGGCCTGATATAAGTATCTAATAAATATAATATAAACGTCGCTTGGCGTACAATATGCGTAAATTTCACAAAAAAAGCAAATAAACTTATTTTCTTCTAAACTTTTGTACCTATTAAATATG